GCACCAGTTCACAAGGTTTGAAGAATAATGGTCCATGCTATAACCTACACACTTCATTTGTTCAACACCATTTTTAAGCATTTACTTGAGAAAGCAGTATGTCTAAATAAGTTAATCGGTAAAGGCTAAAATAAGAGTTCCTATACAGAACATTATTCATTAATAAAATAAAGCAAAACTGTTTTTAACTTAAATAATTAACATCCGTCTATATTTTTGTAATATCTAACTATAAATTTGTAACAATTTACATTAAGATTGTTGGCCTCATCTTTATTTCCATATTCACTACATTTTGGTCATTTTACACTCTGGCCGTCTTCAGTTGGTATAGGTTGGAATTTCAAACCAAACCCTTTGTTTAATCCATGGGGGAAGATTGTTTTAATTCCATGTGCCATGGTCCAGTGAATAAAAGCATTGGTTAAGTGACCCAAAAAGTAACTCGAGCTGTGAGTTCAATACCTGGCCACAGCAGAGGAAACAAAAACTTGAAGAGTTACTAAAGGGCATTAATTGAAACATTCAGAAAAAGTATGGCACATGGTATTAGAACATGTTATTCAATAACCATTTAGTTAACCAATTATTTGTACACATTAGACAGGCATATTATAAAGGACATGAAACTATCAAAATTTTCGAATTTTGTAGGTAGCAGTCATTGTTTCTAGTTATTTTATTTATTTACTTAAGTACTGATCATAAGGTAAGCCAAGGATATTTTTTGGTTTTTATTTTTTGCCTGTCGTAGAATTATAATTTCACCTTGACTTTTGATTATTAAAATAGTTTTGATTTTTTTTTTTTTTTGTTTTACATTATTTTCTATCAAACATATTGCATGATATATCTAATTGAATTTACTGCATTAGTAAAAATTAGTTATGCAATAAAAGTTCTAGAAGATATTTTCTATAAAAAGTGCAGGCTTCCATAGTATCAACCATAGCAAGTGTCTCTGCTGTCTGCATACTTTTTATCACTCTTGACCCTGTGATGTTGCCAAGAAATATGAACATAACTATCATTGTCATCCACAATAAAGACCATGTATCCTGCTTGAGATCCTCCATTGTTAAGTCAAATCCTGCATTACTCTACGCTATCAGTTTTATTTTTGCAAGATTGCCTAAGTTAGGTATTAACAGTTTGGAGGAGATTTTCTTAGTTTTTCTAGCTGACTTATTTACCAACGATATACTTTCCACCTTTCTATCTTTTAAAGATGATGTTACATTGCATCTCATAGCTTAAACCAGGCCGTGTCTGTGTAGCAAGCCAATTTAATTTTTCTATTGAGCTTCTACATAATTTGAACTCATCATTTGACAAAACTGAGTTTGAATTATAGTCTTTGTAGGCATCATAGGAATTGATTTGACAAACTCATTTTGACTAATTAATATGGATTCCTTTCACTGACAAATCTCAAGACCAAGATATTTGAAACTTGAAGTTTCCTCTGATCTAACCATAAAGACTTGCTTGATTTTCTTTATCACATCTTCAAATTTTTCAGTGGCTGCCCAGAAAGTCATCCACATGAATTGATATGATTCCATTAATCTTATTGTTATAGTACCATATAAAGACAGTTTGGTCATACTTAGATGGACAGTTTCCCAATTTCATTAGCTCTTCTCTAACTGTTAAATACCATTCTTGAGAATCATCCTTCAATCCATATACAGTGACATTTAACTTACATATATAACATTGAGGAACTTCAGCTTGTGGATGTGGTTTTAGAAAGATTGTCCTTTCAAATTGTTTCCATTGCAAAAATGCCTTCTTGATATCCATAGAATGGCATGTCCACCTCAAAGCTACAGTGATGGTCAGGATAATTTGTAGGCTCTCCTTTGAGTAAGTAGGCAAGTTACTTCTAACATATCCTGATTCTTCAGCTTGGAATCCTTTTGCTACCAGTCTTGTTTTTATTTTAATTCAATCTTTTGTCTCTTTTTTTTTTTTTTTTTTTTTTTTTTTGGTACAAATCCATCTTATTATAACTGTATTTTGGCCTGAGTTTGATACAACAGAATACAGCCCTCATCGTTTTTTATTTGAACTGTCATTTCATTAAGTGTTACTTCTCTGATGGTAGCCATTAATAGTTTTTCATTGTCTTCCCCAGATTATCACTTCTGAGGATTCTCTAAACCAATACAGCATCAGGCAATTTAATGTTCACCAAGTTGCTGAACCATATGGTCAAATTCTATAATAAAATCAGCGATTTTGATATTTTGTGGCCTAATATATTTTTCAAGATTTCCATATGACATCTTGAACAGAATCCAATTTTTCATATAATAACTTTGTTTATTCCTCTGTATTTAATTTATCAGGTCCATTGCTTCTCTGGCTATACCATTTAGACTCAAAAATAAAGTTGGAGCTCTTTTCCTCATGTTTATATTTGTTGCCATTTCCCAGAACTTACACTTTTTTCCAAGCACGGTACTTTTCTAGGGCTAAAACTAGGAGCCATTTGTCTTATTTTTATGAACTTCGCTCTGCTACCAAATGTTGAAACAGGATTTTACTCTGCAAACAGTGACAGCACTTCACCAAAAAACAGAAAAATGTTCACTGAGGAGAAATTTCAAAATTAAATACTGCCTAACAATTTCAAAATTAAATACTGCCTAACAGTTAATTCCACTTTGGTAAGAAGGGAAATAAGCTACTGCCACTGCTTAAAACACATCCAATAAGCTGAGGAGTAAGAGTCAGCATAGTAACACTAGCTCTTCCTTTATATTTTATCTTAAAACTTGACTTTTTCTTTTCTTTTCAGATAATTCAGAACTGAAACCAACTGAAGCTGAGCCTATGTATCATGAAGATTTCAATGAGTGGTAAGTTTTGAAGAAATAAAGAATACATTTTTTTTATCCTTATTACATTCTTCTGAAGACAAGTAAGGCTTTTTGTGACATCATCAAATCAAATGACTTAAATGATTTTTGTTAGCTGAATCTATTATAAATTAGTACATCAAATCAAGAGTAAACCTCCCCTCTCAGTCACCATTACTTGTATGTTTGATTATAATATCAATTAACTATTTAATTTTTTTAATTAATATCAAAGTACAAAAGGAGTTAACTGTCTTTAGATCTTTTTCTTCTCTATATCATGTCCCTTCAGGACATGAGTAATCATAACTCACTTCACCTCAACTTCCTGTCATTCATAGTTCTTATTAATGTTTTGTATTTTTACTAACCCTCTTACCTGTTATGGCATCCATTTACACAAACCTGTTAGTTAGGTGATTTCCTCTGTCTCTCTCTTGCCTTAATATGTCCAGTGAGTGTCATTTTCTTAAAGCCTTCTTTCCTCATTGTGTCCTAGAAATGTCAACTCTCTCTTTCTGATTTTAAGTATAAGTGTGCTTTTTGTTTCAATTTTCCCTAAAACATTTTGTCGTTACTCACATACTCCATTCATGGAAGTCTTAGTCACCTCTTCACTGACATATGGAAGAATTGATATTACATAGCCGTTCAGCACTCTGTTTCTAGTAACATTTTCCTATCTCTTAATACTTTGCTTGGTTTATGAAAGGCATGAGGAGATTGTCCATCATTCACTGCCATATAGGAGATATTACATAGCAGTTCAGCACTCTTGAAAGCCAAAGGCATAAATCTTATATATATGGCTGGCCACATGTATCCAAGGATGCCAGCCTACTAGGGCAATTAGCTAATCCCAGTTACAGATGCCTGCTCAGGTACATTTATATTTATTCAATATCCACAGAGCTTGATTGCAGTTTATACAGCAACTGTGCTGAGCAAACCTTAGTTAGTTTCTGGGAGAGAGTGCATTATCTATCATGATCAACAGTTTGAACAAAGTCAGCACACTCAAAGCCTCTGTCATGATGACTTGTGACATCATGCTAGCACAACCATTGATGGCTCCTACAGGGTTCTGTCTACCCAATTTCACTGCTGTGGTTTTCAAGCATTTTCCAAAGGTACTGCATGCTGAGATTGTCCCCTACACACCAATAACATCAAGTAATCACTTTCCTGACAAATCAACCATGGTGAGATTCGAATCTGGGTTTCATTGGCAGAAAGAGAATGTGTAACCACTCAGCCTTGTGCCTATATATATATATATATATATATATATATATATTTATTAAAGACATTTTTTATGTTTAACGTTGTTATTTATAGATACAAGTATTTAAGCAAATACTCTGTTTATGATAAACAGTATTAAATAACATTTACTGGCCTGAATGTCCGAGAAATTTTCATAGAAAATATTCGTTCTTTGAAAATATTCGTTCTTTGCTTAAATACTTGTATCTATAAATAACAACGTTAAACATAAAAAATGTCTTTAATAAATAAATTGTCGGACCATGTCCATTTCTTAATATATATATGCGTGTGTGTGAAAATATATAGAAAATTGGAAAGAACTCGTTAGGTAAATAATCCAAAGTTCTTTAGTATTTTTGTTATTATTTTTAAAAAACAGTGCTCGATACAAAAGTAGAGCCTAAATATAATTATTTATTTAAAAATATGATTCCATTGCTACATAAGACTGAGCTGAAAACTTCAATATAATTATTTGAATTAAAGTACCAAGCTCTGTTCCATCTTCAAGCGAAATAAATATATATATATATATATATATATATACACACACATACTCACACACACACAGAGGAAGCTTCTGGACAGTCTTCTGATTGATTTGTTTTTTCATGGCTCCTCAACCATTTGCAGGTTATTTAAAACCAGAAAATATTTTTAGATTGTAATTATTTTTTGTGATAGTAATACTTGTATCACTAAACCATTATTAATTAACCCATAATTGGAGAGAGAATAGGTGGATTCATGCTTTACCCAAGGATATTTGTGCGTAAGGGAATATAACGAACCCAACAGAAATTGGAACTCTGATTAACAATTTTGAGTTGTTATCCATTATACCTCTTGCATATCCAAGCTTAAAGCACCTGGTATTCCCAAGTGGTCACCCATCTAAGTACTGTCCAGGCTCAACATTGCTTAACTTTGATGATCATATGAGAACCAATGTGGTGTCCATAAACCTACATGGTCATTTGATAGTAATAATAATAAGTTAATATGCTATAAATAACTCAAATAAAATTAATCAAATTCATTGATATGAAATTATTTCTTTTTAAATTAATTTTAAATCCTGTTCAAGGTGACTTTGATAACAATGACCTTTTTATAATACCTATGATTATTTATTTCTATAGATAGATAACAATGACCATTTTATATCTATGAGATATATATATATATATATATATATATATGTAGGGATATGTTTGTGACCCTGAGTTTCACACTTTTGCAATATATATGTATACACACACCCACACAATAACCATTTTATAGTATCTATAACTATATATACATAGGCTGCAATGAGATATATATATATATATAGAGAGAGAGAGAGAGATAGATATACATATTTGGTTGGATTGATGTGAGTTTGTGACCCTGAGTTTCACACTTTTGCGATCATCAGACAAGTACCACGCATATAATATATAAATAATTATATATATATATATATATATATATATATATATATATATATATATGTGTGTATGAAGAAAAATATACAGAAAAAACAAACAAAAATCTTAATATGCAATTATGCTGTATTAATGTTAATATAAAATCAACGTCGGACGTTTTGGTCTATTTTAGACCATCTTCAGGACATTTTCATTAAACATAATTAACATTAGAACATATAAAATTCACCATGAAAAGACAATGGACATAAGAGCACAACTAATTCAAACAGATAACTGAAATTTTTATATAAGATCAGCGTTATAATAGTTGTGCTCTTATGTCTGTCTTTTCAACGTTGATTTTATATTAACATTAATACAGCATAATTGCATATTAAGATTTTTGTTTGTTTTTTTTTCTGTATATTTTTCTTCATACTGTCGGATCTATAGCCATATATTTGCTTATATATATATATATATATATATATATATATATATAAGTGGACACTGATGATAACACCAAGCAGCAATCATCTGTTTCATGCTTCAACATAATTTTTAGGCTATATCTCTAATATTAAGCACTATTACCCATGAATATAGCATAACTTAAAAATATATTTTTTATCAAGTATGTAATGGCAGCAATAAGAGTCAAATGATAAAACACACACACAATCTTTTTCTCATTATATTACTGTGAAATAATATTTTTTTATTTTACAAATTTTGATATATTTACTGATTGAGCCTTAATTATAATATCACATCTGATTGCTTACAAGACCCATCTCCACAGAGTCTTATGCACAAAACCTAGGTATCTGGTATGTCTAATATTTACCAAGCACTCTTGTCTACCAGTATTTGTACCTAGCCCATCTCCTAGTACTGTAAAATATTAAATGTAAATGTTGGGTGTACTTAGATATATATCACCATATTCAGTATTTTTTTTATTCTAAAATAAAATATTCAATATAAATCATTTAAAGGACTTATTGGAGGTACAAAAATTTAATCAATTCTATAAAAAACAGATAATTAAAAAAGTTTTCAAATGCCTTTCAACATCCAGTCTGGATTATTTTTAATTGGCATTTTGATTTGTCCATCATCAACAGATGCAGGTCTGACAAAATATTCTCTTTTCCAGCTCAGAATTTCTACTTCTGAACTTGCCCAACCAATTAAGAATAATAATCTTAATGGCACCATCTCAAAAATGGCAAATATCTTTTTGCTGTTTGTACAGCATTTATTTTTGGAAATAAAAAAGGCTCAAATGTTAAAAATGTATCTCATTTTTATTTTCAATGCAAAAACACTTAAAATTCAAAATCTACACATGAATCATATAGAAAGATATATTGAAATGTCATACATTTCAGTCACAGTTGAAATGAAATCACATGTTCAAATACCACCTATTGAAAAATACAAATTTTTCTTCCAACTCAACATGTTTTCCCTATTTTAATTTGTTTTCTGTACATCCTTCCCTTCTCTCTCTTCCCCTCACACCTCTCTGCACTTCTCTCACTATCTTTCTCTCACTGCTTTGTATTCTCTGAAACCTCTTCATCATTTCATTAACTTCTCTATTTGTAAGCATGAATAAAATGCATATTATTCTCTTTCACCACTCTCACTTTTCATAGTTTCCATCTCTCTCTTTCAAAATTAATCTCTATCAGTGATCATTATGGGCAAAACAATAAAAATGTTCGTCTGTAGTCGTTCGTCATTAACCATTTCATCATTTGTGTACTATTTTGATTTCATCATCATCATCAAACCGTTAAGATAACAAATAAATTATACATAAAAGTAGTTAATCCTCAAATTGATGGATGACATTCGTCTACTAACTCAACCTACCAGCTTGTTGCTGCTGATCTTATTCTTTTACTTTTTAGTTTAATTGACACGCATAGCTCGTAACTAATTGTTATATACATCACAATGTTTTACATATTGATTGATATTCCTGTCATTTCATCAAACTTACCCCAGCTTTCTAAAGCTACCCGACTGTAAACTAAACAAATACCGATTCTTAAAAACCGATGATGGCTGTACCACTACCAGTAAAACCAAAATATAAAAATTATTATTAATATTTAAAAGTTAAAAAAGAAAGGATTTATTTTTTTCTTTTAAATGAGCGATAAAGACCGTTATTTTTTTTTCTCCGTCGATCAATTGCTGTGTTTCCCTACACTACACAGCTATTGGCTGTTGGTGTTAAATGTTAGTGTTATATGGTCGGGAATATATGATCAGAGATATATCAATGATTGACTGATCGGTTCTCTCCTTTCTTTGCGTGTCTGTCTGCATGCCTGACTGTCAGTCCGGCTGCTTGCACGCTCGTGCGTGCACGTGTCCTCTCTTTCTTTCTCTCTCTATCTCTCATATACTCTCACGTTTACTCTTTCATTCATTCCAGTATATCATTGACCCAGTAACATCTGTTTATAAAATAATTATTATGTATTATATCATTTCTCCTACTGAAAAAGAAAAGGAGACAATGTATTTTAGATGCGTTTTGTAGTGAATCTTTCCTTCGTTATTGTTTTACGTAATTCTACGTGCAACCTAAGATTTGCTTTTTCTCCCCATCCTCAATTCCACAAAAAGTGGCGGAGACATTTACACCCACAACATAATCACACACAAAACAATTCCAACAAGTGAAAAAAAAAAAAAAAAAATTGGTAAATGGGATTTATATGAATTGACAAATGTATGGTCGGTGTACCTGTCTACCTTCAAATTAAGTGCGACGATTTTTTGAATGAGATAAACAAAACAAAAGGTAATTTATTGATTCCATCGTTAGTTGTTTTTTTTTTTTCTCTTTGATCTTCCTTTCTTGAACGGGCCCAAATAACTGATTTTTCTTCTTTTTTTTTCTTTTCCCCCTGTTATAATTATTATAATTATTATCGTTGTTGTTGTGCAATGTGTATATTACATTTTGTTTTGTATTTTATTGTACTTTTTCTTTTTTTTTCTTTTTTCTTACTTGCAAGTTGTTCGCAGAAAATTGATTTTTCGCATTTTGCAGATTTTACGAGCTGTTCCTACCCCTCCAATTCGGTTTTCGAAAATTCAATTCTAATGACTTTTTTTTTCTTAAATTGCACTGTAATTATTACAGCCTTCTTGTTTTGAAGTACGCTCACTGTCTAAGAAGAATAAATTATCCTTGTTCAATGTTCATGGATCAGTTTTTAATCACATTTTAGAAAAACGTTGCTTGATTTTTATTTTTCTTAATTTGCTAATTAATGACTAATTTCTTTCATATGATTATCTTTTTTTTTAACTTTTTTGGCAGTGTTTTCCTTTTTGCTTTGCAACTTTTTTCTCGTCTCTTTCTCCGTCTTTCTTCATTTCATTCATTTTCTCATCGCGCGCAGAGCTTAGATTTGAAGGTACGATCATCTACGTTACATAAAGGAAAGCGTTACAATTGTTTGTTTGTTTTTTTAAACAATAAACCTTGGCAAAAAGAACTGCTTCTGTTTTCTTAATCGAATCACAAAGGATCATCAAATATATTTTTTATTTGTCATAAGAAACAGTACCCATATGAGTTTTTGCCTGGCTGCATTAAACAACAATCATTTTATTGTTAAAAATAAATCAATGCTCAGAAATCCATATAAAAATAACTTGTCTTTTTACTAGTTTCAACTTTAAACTGTGCTTCTTTGAGTTGAGAATTAATAAATAAGTGATTGAATAAAGGGACAAGTAGTAAATTTTTATAAACTTGGTTCACTAACTGCTAGTTAAAACTTCACCAGAAATTTTGATTGAGATTAAAAACATAAACGATGTTTTTTTTATTTTGTTTATTTTTGTTGTTGCTATGAAAAGCTTTAAAAACTGTTTGTAGATCAATCATTACTAGAAATAAATTTAACAAATAAAATAACTTAACTCGGCTATGTGAAAAGTAAAAATTGTAGCAAACAAAGAGATATCTCAAATAATAAGCAATAATGATTTCATAAATATATACTAATTTTTAAATTTTTAGTTTAAGTTAGTCGCAGTCTCCAAATTAAATTTCATTGTTACGTAAACTAAATACAAATGCACATTTTTTTTTTTTTTTAACTTCAAATGACAGGTTAATCCAATAACTGACACAGGTGGTTGAGATTGTGTTACAGATGAAGTTGAACAGTAGTATCCTGGTCACATTGGTCAATATGGGTTCAAATTTGGCTGGTTATTTTTTTCTTCTCTCGTACTTTGGAATTGTGGAAGTCGAAATAGTTTCCGTTTTACAATCATTGTGACCTGTCCACCCCCACCTTAGATATTCTCTCACATAGATGTTTCGACTACAGCTTGTTAGATTTTTGCAATTCTCTGGTGGCAGTTATCAACAGGTTTCTCGTTTGTATATTTTAAATTTATATTTTGTCATAAGTAACTTTTTCTTTTAACAAATGGTAGTTCAATTTATGAAAAAATGTTCTTGTTTAGTTCGACAAATTAAAATTCAGAAA